AGCATATACACCACCACAACCACCAGCTGCTGCAGCAGCAACACCACCACTACTGGCAGCAGCAGCAGCACCACCACCACTACCAGCAGCAGCAATACTATAACCTGAATCAAATGTATAGTATGCAGCACCAACAGCAGCAGCACCAGCAGCAACAGCAGCAGCAGCGGCTAAGGCACCAACGCCAGTCCCCGCTGCAGCAGCAGCATATCCAGCAGCAGCAGCAGCAATTCAGACAGCAGCAGCAGCAGCGTGGTCAGCAGCAACTCCCGTACGACGAACTGCGGCCGCACCGATGCCACCAACAGCCGCAGCCGCAGCAGCAGCAGCAGCAAAAGCCGCAGCAGCAGCAACAGCAGCAGCCGCAGCAACAGCCACCGCCGCCGCCGTGGCAGCAGCAGCAGCAAGACTCCGGGCGGCAGCAGAGAGTTCCGAAGGAGCAGCAGCAGCAGCAGCAGCAGCAGCAGCGGCAGTCATACTGGCAGCCGAGACAGCAGCCGTACAGGCAGCAGCAGCAGCAGAGGCAGCCGCAGCAGCAGAGGCAGCAGCAGCTGCAGCAGAGGCAGCCGCAGCAGCAGGAGAGGCAGCCGCAGCAGCAGCAGTACAGGCAGCAGCAGCAGCAGAGGCAGCCGCAGCAGCAGAGGCAGCCGCAGCAGCAGCAGCAGCAGGAGAGGCAGCTGCAGCAGAGGGAGCCGCAGCAGCAGAGGCAGCAGCAGCAGCAGCAGCAGCAGCCGCATCCACCGCCTGGGGGCCAGACGCCGCAGATCGGCGCCCGCGAAGACAGTCCTGCTGCTGCTGCTGCTGCAGCAGATGGAAAGCAGCAACAGCAGCAGCAGCAGCAGCAGCAGAATGAACAGAAGCAGCAGCAGCAGGAGCAGAGGCAGCAAGAACAGGAGGGGGAGAAGAAGCAGCAGCAGGAACGGCAGCAGCACGAGCAGCAGCAGCAGAAGGAGCAGCAGCAGCAGGAGCAGCAGCAGCAGGAGCAGCAGCAACAGGAGCAGCAGGAGCAGAAGCAGATGCAGCGCGAGCAGCACCGGCAGCAGCAGCAGAAGCAGCAAGAGCAGGAGGAGCAGCAGAAGAAGCAAC